TTATTTTAAAATACTTATTGTATTAGAAAATCAAAAACTAATTGACTTTATCACCTTTACCTTGTTAAAAATAGATTAATATGTGAAAACAGATTGAGATCAAAGAATAAATAAGACTAATTTAAACAGACTATCTTTATAAATTAATATTTTTTAGGGACGTGTAAGAGACAAACATGAAAAGTAAAAAGAACAACAAATTAATTTAGACACAAACATTATTGTTTTGGATTTTTGGACAAGTTCTATCAAAATTCTCCTCGGAATCAAATGTTTCTTTGTAAAACGATGTTTTTTAATGTCCAAAAGAAGGCGAACAATCATGTTATATCAGATCTAAAAGTCGTTATTTTTAATTTCTACTACTAAAAAGAATGATACATTTAGATTATTGTAATTAAGACTGGGATTCTTTATCTGGTAGGTGGTTTAGTTGAGGGTGGTCAAAATAGTAATTATAGCAGTTGACTACATTTTCAACGAAAAGGTTGACTATATGTGTATCGTGGAGGATTAATATCAATATTAATGCAAAATTACTAGAATCTAACAGATAATCTAATAAACTAAATTAATTAAGCAACTAATCGAGTGCACTCATTCAGTCATTCTCGTATTTTCGATATGTTTTCACATAGATAAAGAGCCAACTTTTTTTGTATATTTGGATATTTAGCGAAAGTTTTTCAAAGACTTTTTTGTTTTTTTCGTTGAAATATAGATCAATTAAGTGTGGAGATTAACGTTTTAGATATGAATTAAAAAAATCGTGAGTTTTATTTAAAAAATCTTATATACATGGTTCTTTTCTATAGACTATATATAATAATAATTGATCTTTTTTGCGGATTAGAGAAAATACTTCTTATATAAAACATGATTCTCAAAATTAGATATGAACAGAACAATCATCGACTATAAGAAAAAATTGCTTTTGTTATTTATTTAAAGAAATTGTTTAATAATTCTTTTTTGGATTGGGGAAAAGAAACTAGCATAGAATAAGAACTTAATATTGGTACTTGAGATAGCAAATTATACCATTATCTTACCATTCGATTCTCTTAGTTTGTCTATTAAGCAAAAGTAATACTCCTCTCTCCATTTTAAGTGGCCCTATTTTTTTATTTATTTGTTCACAAAAATAGTAGTAATACATTTCTTTATTGAAAAATAATTTAACTATATATTTCTCATTTTATACTTTTTTTTATTCGTTTAAACCGCGCGAAACTTTAAAACTCTGTTGCAGAATGATCATGCTGTAATATTTGTGGTACCAAAACAACTTGCTGGGAGGAAGAGAAGGTTAATTACTGGCCGAGTCATAGGCTATGCTCCTGCTAGCTTCATTATTGTACCTTGTAAAGGTGAAGTTAACCATTTCACCATTAAACTAAATAAGGTTAGTACATTTGGTTATTAAGATTATTTTCTGTAATAATGTATGATTTTCTCAAACATATTATAATTATGACACAATTGTTTTAGTTAATATTTTGTTATGGATCAAATAATAGAAAGGAGAAGAACCAAGTGCTGATCCCTATGGACTGAATCACAAATACTATGATTTGTTGCATGGATGGCAAGCTGAAATGAGAGTACGTCGAAATGGAAAAGTTGAAGCGGTAAATAATTCATTATTTTTCATGTTCCAAACTCGTATGAAATGAAGTTGCAACTAATACTTCATCGTATCATTTTTATGTTTATACCCAAAATTTTTTTATTTTATATATTATCTCTACACATATTCAATAAAAATTCTGACGAAGCGATGTCACATGACACCGCTTGTCGCAAGGTGTATCCACCGTTATATCCTCTCAATTGATGTGAAACTTTTTCCTTTAGTAAATCTCAGTCAAACACCATCACATAAATTGGACAGAGAGAATAGTACACTCGGCTTCTCTAGATCTAATCTACCATTTTCTTTTAATTTGTTAAATTCTCAAGCTAGTTCTTGATCCTAATTAAAGACCATAACCAAACGATAAATCAAGAAAATGGAAATTAAAAGATCAAGAAGAAGCTTACGAGTCCGGGGGCGTATGCACCTTCTACCATACGGTGTCACGGCACATCGCTTGGTAAAAAAAATCTCACTAAATATTTAAAAGAAAAATGAAAATATTAGGGATATGTATAGAAAATAATACCTCTTCTCATTATAATGATTTATTCATTAGCCTATTTCTTCAAATTATGACACTGCTTATATAAAATCTTGTACTTTGTAATATAATGTATTATAATTACTATATATATAGTAACCTTAAGAAAATCTTCTTGTATTGCAGTTTTACTTCCATGAGACCAAAAGTAGCGAGTGTCGATCTACTGGGGATGCAAGAAGACACGTATTCAAAGGTTTCGAGAAACTGAAAATAGAAGTTAATCAAGAAACCAATACAGTAACAGAGACTTTTGTAAGTTTTTTGTTAGATTAAATACACAAATTGTTTGGACAAATTACATTATTATTCTTTCAAATCCTTATTTAATTTAAGGTTGGTGTTCGAGTAAAACGCACTACCAAAAGTGCCAAGAGCAAGGTTGAAAAGTTTCTCGCGGATGCATGGAATAACCTAATGAACAGGGATAACAAACAGAAAGACGAGGTAAGTTTATGATAAGCTATTTGATTAAAGGAGTTATACAAAAAAAAATTAGGAAAAATGACATTGTATAGCCGCTCTCAAAATATAATAGCAGAAAAATGTATATATCCTATATGATATATACAAATTTTATACACCTTTTTGGCTACCAAATATATAGTTTCTGGCGCACGCTAAAAATGAAAAAAAAAAAACAAAAAAAATATACGCAGAATCAGGGCCGGGTCTAACGTTATCACAAGTAAGGCTTGTGCCGTAGGCCCTATTTTTTAGAAATAACATGCATATAAGTATTTAAAAATTTAACATTTACTACTTTTCGTACAAACATAGATTTTTCCTATAATTTGCCTCAAAGAAAAGAAATTTTTTAAGATTATAATTTGATAAAATCTTACCTAAGATCGACAATGCCTCAAGAAAAATTAAATGAGTTGGCCATATTATCAATAGAAAAGGAATTATTAAAAGAAATCGATTATAAAATAGTTATTAATAACTTTGTATCTCAAAAGATTAGAAAAATAGACTTACAATAAAAATATATATCATAACTTTATAAAAAAAAAATGTAAGCCTCACATTAAACAAGTACTTGAGCCGCCCCTGGGCAGAATAGATCACTACACCCTGAACTTGAAACGTTTTTTTCAGTGCCACCCTCAACCATGCCTAGTCCTAATTACCCCTCTGAACTTGACACGTTTTCTTCGGTCCTAACTTATTTTATTTTTACATTATTTTTAAATTAAAGGCCGGGACACCCTCCAAGAAAAGAAAAGCTGAATCTTCCAAATTGGAGGGAGAGTCTGCAACAAAGTACCAAAGAAGCAGTGAGCAGCCTACAATCAGATGCAAATTGACACCACAGGAAAAATATGAGCTTGAAAAGTTTCTGGCTGATGCATGGAACAACCTAATGAACTTGGGTAAGAAAAACAAAGATGAGATCGAATCTGAGCAGGTTGATTCAAACGGTACGCACTCTTCCTCAAACCTCCCCGGGGATCCTATCCATTCGCCACAACTGTTTCCAGGAGGGAATACTGGAAGTTCTGCAAATGTGGATGGCCGCGAACTTCTTGTGCAGAAGGAAGTATACAAAGGAAAAGAAGTGGCCAAGGCTGTGAATTCTGAAGACAATTCAGGCAAAGGTAGCTTCTCTGATACCCCTCTTAACAATGGCAATGCATTAGACATGCCACAAGTATTATACAGCTGGCGTTTGGATTTTTTTTTAATTAAGTAGGGTTATTACGTTATAATAAGAAGGGTATTTAGGTAATTCAATCTTTTAGTTTCCGTCATTGTTTCCACAGGTGTTATCCCCATGCCACCATTGTTCCAAGAAATGGTTGCTCAGAAGGAAGTAGACAAGGAAGCTGAATTCGTGCATGGAAACGTCGATGAAAATGGTGAAGCAAAAGAAGTGAATCAGCAAAAAATGAAGATTTTTGGCCACTGGATTATCAAAGAATGAAGCAAATGCATTTACAAGGAACAAGAATGATCTAGTTGGTGTTTGCTTATTTGTTTTGTGGTTTTTGTTTGGTTTGTTACTATTGGGACATCAATGTTTCTTTCTATTTAGTCCAGTTTACAATCTATTTTGTTGAACAATTGATTAGTTTCATCCTGATATAGACAGTCAGCTCAATGCATGGAACTATTCACCTCTATGTCTTTCTCTTTGCTGAAAGATTTCTTCTATGTTTGTTCTATTAGAAACACCAATTTTCTTTCTGTTTTAAGGCATGCAATTTTTTATCTTGTTCCCATTTGGACATAGATTTTTTTCACCTTTTTTCCAAAAAAATAAAAACATCGTTTGATCATGGAATTTGATAAGCTTTTGAAAAAATTTGAAGAATATTTTCAAGTTCCAAAAACTGGTTTGGGCAAGTTTTTTCCTGAATTTGTTTTAATTATTCGCAAAATTTTAACTTTTTTTTCAAGTAAAATGCATGTTCAAACACAACTTTAACTTCCAAAAACTATTTTTCAACGCAACTTTAAAAACAAATTCTCAAAATTCAACCAAATCTATGTTCAAATGCTAGCTATATTTCTATATGACATCGATTTCTTGCCTTACACAAAAATTTCAACTTTCATAGACTTCATAAAGGAGCACTAGCAAGATTCTGGAAATTAAACATAGGAGACTTTTAGCATTATTGATAAGGCACTATCTAATAACAGTACCATGCAATATTCAAAACCACAAAAATTCTTACCTTTTCCCTTTCCCCTATTTCCCTTCAAAGGCATGCAAAACCACACGAGATTGTGTAAGTAATACTATTAATATGTTACTACTGAAAGATATAGAGTCATTATGCTGTCAGCAAAGTTGCAAGAAATAGTTGCATATACTAGAAATACAAGTTGCAGGCTATTATAGAATTATCATGCAGAATAAAAAAAACATAGTTAACCAAATAGAAGGTGATCAAACAAAAAGTTTACAGTAAGAAAAGTCGTAGCAGTTTGAAAAGAACCGTCTTAGGCGGCCAGGACACACAAAAGAATTCTTGGCTTAGCTTGCTTTAGCGGCCACCATTAGGTTCTGCAAGTCTTGATTGACATCCCATCTGCTCAAGAAACTTACTAAGGCGCAGGTGTTTGGAAGCCCATTGCTCCGCTAATTTCTGCTCCTTTGCTTCTGCGTCCCTCCTCAAGCCTGCTAGTTGCTCCTTGTATTCTGCTTCAATCCTGTCTAGAGTTGCCTTCTGCTCTTCCCTCAGAGCTTTCATTTTTGCTTCAATTTCCTCCATCTTCTCCCTAACTTTGCTTGTTTTCTCTGATTCTAGCTGCAATTCCACTCGCCTTAACCTCCAAGCTGCTTCCTTTTTATGAGCAGCCCAAGCACGATGCCCTTCGTCTAGCTCTTTACAGCATTCCGCAAGTTCAGTAACAAATGGATTTTCTCCGCAAGGAGGGGCAACCCCATGATGTGGAAAACTGCTCAAAATAAGGGGCGCATTTTCAGGTCCTCTATCTGTCTGTAGCCACGGAATTCCAGGAGTAGGCGTAGGTGGCACTGTTGAGGGGGAGAGACTTAATGTCACAGAGGGAGATTGTGATCTGACGGTTGAAGTAGCAGTGGAATTAGAAAGCCACGGCGGAAGAAGAGTTTGTGGCGAAGGAGCTGGTGCATCGGTGTGGAGGAAACCTCCGTTAGAAGTAGCCATAAGTAAACCTGGGACACTCCGCTCTTTCACAATCTTCTCCGCAAAGGTCTCAAGAATGTGGTCGTATTTTCCCTCGTCTACTGGATCAACAACCTTATTATTTTCTTTCTGCTCCCTCTGTTGCTTCTCTTTGAATACTTCCCACCACTTCCCTAATCTTTTAGCAGTTCGACCCGGTACTTCAGCTGCTATTTTCTTCCATTTATTGCCGTGTTTGGCCTGTAGATGGATAACAAGACGCTGCTCCTCTTCAGTGAGTGATCCTTTTTTAATCCCTGGTTTGAGGTAGTTTTTCCACCTTTCCAAGCAAGACTTAGCGTCCCTGTTGAGGGGTGTGTTCATACGCTGTGATACAAGGTGCCACTCTTTTGGTCCATACTGTTTCACATATGCCCGCAATAAAGCATCCTCTTCAGATCGCCACCGTTGCCTCTCCCTCATTTCCAGGTGTAAACACCAGTTCCCATGGTCCCAAACTCCTCATAATTTACCTGCCAGAATGTTTAACACCATTTTTACTTGCGATACTAAAGTAAAGAATCAGAACCATATCTATTGAACAGGCAAAGTATTGTCGAAATTCATTACATGCAAATGCTTCACATTTAATGTAGTTACTAGCATAACATAGAAATAATATACTTGTAAAGAAAGTCCATTTCAGCACCTTAAAATAAGATACCATCACAGAACCAAGGATCGTACAACAGCATTTAAACATGAGAAAATCATGCAATGTTTCATCGCTCAAGACATTTCCAAGAGAAGAATGCAACAGCTTTGTTCTACCATACAAAACTCCAACTGCCAAGACATGAGAAAACAGTAACTAGAAAATTATTCAAGGTCATTGATACATGCATACTCTGAGCAAGCTATTAGGGCATCCTAGCTTGTCAATACCGAATTCAGACGTCTAAGCGAGAAACACCTACACGAGCTACCTCACCAAATAAGAAGTAGAAACAAAATAGAGATGAAAAATTGGAAGAGGTACAAACCAGAGCAGTAAGTATTTCGATGAGTTGGTGCAAAGGAACAACATCGTAAATCTTGGTAGTTAAGCTTCCTAAATAATTAGTGAAAATTGAAATTCAGCTCCTCAAATATGCTGACTTTAACTAACATTATGTCACTCTGTGATGTTCACTACTAAGGACCAGCCCACCTTTATAAAGAATATAGAAATTGAGGTTGCATTTCTAATAAACAACATTAATTTGATAGAATTCAAATAGAATCGAAGAATTCATATTTAATTTGGTTTCAGACCCTTCAGCATTCAGATCTTTTTACAAGTATTGACTGGAGTAGTCGTATTTGACGGTCACACTCAGCTCCCAAAGAAATGCAGAGAAAAGAGTAAAGAATTATAAAAAGTGGAATATGTTAACACAAATTAAATAACACCATTCATCCTAGATCACTATAAAACAAACTAATATTCATCCAGCTCATTTTTGCAGTAACCCTTGCGAGAAAGTACTGAAATATTCATATCCAAATACTTTCGGGACATCAAAACTCCGCAAACCTGAGGTTAAACACTGCAATTCACCTAGATCTTAAATACAACCAAGAACAAAAAGAAAACTAGTATAAGAAATGGAGGAGTTTATGCAAAATGTATCAAGTAGAAAGATACAAAACCAACAATATAAAAACACTTCTAATAAGATCTGAGTTAGAACAAACATGGCAGAGATTTAAGGACTTTCCTTGTTTGAGCTCAGATTGCGCAAAAACGGCAAAGAAACAAGGGAAATGCAGAGACTAGTAAAGCAAAAAAGATTGGTTCTTTATCTTCACCACACATAGCCAATTAGCAACAACAACAACAGCATAATACCCAATATAATCCCACAAGTTGGGTCTGGGGAGGGTAGCCCTGCACATAGCCAATTAGCCATACATTTAAATGCAACGGGAATAGAAGACATAATTCAGTAAAAAAGATAGATTCTTTATCTTCACCACATATAGCCATACTACATGTAAATGCAACAAGAAAGCACAACGCTATGTGCGGGGCCAGGAAGGACCGAACTCAATTCAGTATATATTTAAAGAAGATTTCCCACAATACAGTAGGAGAACATCCAATATATCAGTTTGATCACGAAAAATAACTTACAAGAAACCACTTAGGAAGCCCAGTTCTTGCCTCGACCCATTTGATCTATTATTTTTTCTTGTTCTCAAAGCAAGTATGAGCAACAAAAAGAGAAAAGAGAAGAGGAAGTGGAAGAAAAATGTGTATGCAAAGAAAGAAAGAGGAAAGAAGAAGAAGAAGAAAAAAGAGAGAAGTGGCAGAAGATGAAGAAAAGAGAGGAAGGTGAGAGCAAGCTATAAGAGAGAAAGGCTAAGGTATGGAATGATAGTATGCCCCCCTCTCTCTCTTGTGTAATAGTGGTGATGTGTTTAAGGGAATGTGATGACGAAGACGGGCAATGGCGTCTTTTACCATAAAGGTTATTTCTACTTCTACACCACGCACTATTATGTATTGTACTCTTCGGGTAAACTTGAAAAGTAAGAGCACTTGGTAAATAAGAAAAGTATGATCTTCTTCTTTTTACATGTAAACTTTTTTCCTATGAGAAAAATCCAAACTTTTACAGCAAATCAATTTTTTGAGGAAAAAAAAAACTTGAAAAGAAGGTGTGAGTATAGTGGTAATGTCCTTACTAGTGATCAGATATTTATTATCTCTCACCGTTTATTTATCCCTACTTATTCGAATTTAGTATTTATGCAAAATTAAGTGATTTTATTTTAGTAGTTAAAAATTTAAGTAATAATATATATTAATTAAATATAATTAATAGTATATATGTGTTTAAAAAACACTTGACTCACATTTACTTGTTTAGTATAAATATTAGGTGTCGATAATTTTTCGGTCTTCTATCTCTAGTAAAATTTGAACGATATTCTTTCATGATTTTCGCCTAACTTTTTTTAGACGCTAATGTACACACTTAGGTGAAAAAAAATCTGAGTAAGGAATAAATCTAAATAGTAGACCACTCAATTGCTTAAATAAAAAATAATCGAATAATGTATAATATATGTATAACTTAAATAAATAGTCGGATAATGCGTAATATATATATAATTATATTTTATATATAAAATATAAATAATTATGTATAATCAGTAGATAAATTATGTATACAGATTAAAAAAATAAACAACGGATAAAACTGACCTACTACTTGTGTAAAGATCCAATATAAATAGCCTATTTAGTTAATCTTTGTAGAAAATAGAGTGGTTTTAGTTGCAGAAAATAGTGTTCAAAATTGAACTAGCTTGTTAGTATTATAGACTGTATATTTATAGTTAGAGATATTGAAAAATCTTACTTTAATAGAAGTGGACAAACTCATCAGAAAATGCAATAATGGCAACAAGGGTAGTTTGTGGACACTACTGTTTTACTGATATATTAGCATCTGCCTAGTTCTTTGAAACTATCATCATCACGTCTTAGATTGAACAATATTATTATTTTATTTTTCATCTTTTCTTTTTTGAGAAATGGGAACTGTTTTTGATTTTCTTGTTCGCCTTTTTTAAAACTAAAACTATTTATTCTGGAAAAAACTGCCTCCTACTCGAAGTGACTACACTCTGTACTGCCACCACTTTAACCCCTCAGACTCAGACCCTTTGGCACAGTATTGCCTTGGTCCCACCGCCTGCTTAACAAGATGCACTGCTATTTCTATCTCCAAAAATAAAATCAATTATCAAAAATCTAGGTAAGGTTTGCAATTTGTTTGAAGTTTTTCGTTTTTGAAAATTCAAAAAAAATTGTTTTCTATGCCACATTTTTTTTAAAAATTCTTCGAAATTATGACCGAGTAATTTATATTAATGGTAGTATCACTAGTTTGAATTTGATTTTATCTTTTATTTTATATAATGATATTGACTAAGCATAAAATTTAAGAAAAAAATTGATTTCTAATTATATAATAAAAGAACATCGGAACCTGTGATTTTAAATATTTTATTATATTATTATAGTTATAAGAGTTTGTCATTGACAGTAAAAATAAGAAGTTTATATTAAAAAATTATTATAAAAATATCATTTAAAAAGAAATCATGGAGTTAATTTTTGAGAAATTGTACTCAATTGGCATAAGAGACAGACATTTGGTTCGAACAGAATAATACTCCCTCCGGTCCAAAATAAGTGATTTTTTAGTTTTTTTTCTTATGGTTAAAAATAAATAATTTTTTCATATTTCAAGAATAAATTAATTATTTTTTTCCTACATTGCCCTTGAAGTATGTGTTATGAGTATTTATGTGAAGAGATAGTAAAGGCTAATATGGTCAATTTTATTACTAATTAATGTTAAAATATGAATTTCTTAATATGTGTGAAAACACCAAAAAAATCACTTATTTTGGATCGCAGGGAGTAAAGTATATCCCGGGAAAATGTGAAAGAAATGAACGGTAAAATGGTTTAATTATGAAATAAACGGAATAACTATGTTTTGTAAATAAAAAGCCACTCAATTATCACTATGTACTCTAGACTATTTTTTTGATCCAAAATTCGACCAACTCTTGCCAAAAGTTATCTAAACCAATTTTTAATTCATTTTTTCTCCATTTAATGTATTATTTGAAGTAAAATTATTCCATAAAGAAATTATTCTAATATTGGTATACTATGGTATGTACTACAAGAGAGAATAATAGTTGTAAAGCTTGGGGGATAAGACAATAGGATCTTTGTATTATGTATCTCTGGTCATCATTAGCTACGTGACTTCCGAGGATTGAAATGACAACTAGCCTTGGGACCAGATGCTAATATATTTCCAAAAGGATTTATTTCGGAATATTTCCAAAAAGAGGAATATATAATTTCAAAACTTAGTTTTAAATAAATTTTTTATATTAATTGGACATAACTCGCCTGTGGTAACTATTACATATAATTTAATTTGTGATCTAGTGACTATTGAATTATTCTCGTTCGAATATTAAAAAGTGTGACTAAAAAGATCACTCCTATTTTGTTTTCATTTAAACTATTGCTATTGTGTTTTCCTTTAAAATATTGCTATTGTATTTTCGCAGTCGTTGCAAAATACCACATGACCATATACGAGAGAAAATGGTACAAAATTATTAAATATTTTAATTTGAATAGAAAAAAATTTATGAATAATTTCATGTGTGTTATTTATCACTTCTTATGTTATTTTCTTAGTGCTCAATTTCATTTTATGTTTCCCTGTTTGAATATCACTAATTTAAAAGTATGACATTTTTGTGGCCAAAAGAGTGTATCATTAAGGAATAAAATAGAAAGATCAAATTAAATTATTTTTAAAAAGATCTAAAAATACAAAAAAGGTTCACAAAAATAAAAAAAAATAAAAATATACGTTTTATCGATCTCCCGTGATATGTATCATATAACTATAATAACATATATACCTATCGTAAATTTCAATTAATCGTCATTGCTCTAGCGTACTAAGGATATGACCCACGGTAGAAAGACGTGGAGGTCGAGAATTAGGTTTGACGGTTGACAATTAGTAGTGTGTTCATCCTAGGCTTACCAGTAGTACTAGGACTATTTGTATGTTATTTTATTCGTGATTCTTTACTATTGCATGTTGTGTCATTCGTGCACGTTACCTTAATGTATTATTATTACTATTGTTTGCTATTTGTTGCCTTATTTTCACTGTGCCTTGAGCCGAAGGATTATCAAAAACAGTATTCTTACCTTTATAAGGTAGGAATAAGATTTGCGTATACTTTACCCTCTTAAGATCCCATTTATGGGGAATACATTGGATTCATTGTTATTATTATTTGTAAATTTCAATTAATGAGGATCCCAAAATGAAGAGAAATTGGAAAAAAAAAACTACATTTGTAGAGACATAAAACAGATTTCTCTGAGTTAAATAAATTTGTAGAAACTCAAAAACTCTTCTTCAAAAAATAGTGTACTATGTACTTTTTTTTTTTTTTAA